AGCATGGGTGGAGATCCAAGGAGACAGGCAGTTTCTCTAGGAGAGCTGGACAGGGGCCATAGATAGGTCCTTAACCCATCAGCAGGACTGGTATTCTACTCCATTATGCAAAGAGGAACAAGTTGAGCACTGCCAGACCTACCCCTCCTCCCCTCCCCTCCTAAAGCCCTACTAAATGACCTCCAGCAGGCCACTGGTGTGAATGTCTCTGACCAAACAATCAGAAACAGATTTCATGCAGAGTGCCCTGGAGGGCCCGACATCCTCTAGAGGGCCCTGTGTTCACTGCCCAGCATCATAGAGCTAGATTGGCATTTGCCATTAAACACCAGAATTGGCAGGTCTGCCAGTATCGCCCTGTGCTTTTCACAGATGAGAGCAGGTTCACCCTGAGCACATGTGGCAGATGTGAAAGAGTCTGGAGAAGCCGTGCAGAACATTATGATGCCTGTAACATTGTTCAGCATGACCGTTTTGGTGGTGGGTCAGTGATGGTCTAGGGAGGCATATCCATGGAGGAACGCACAGACCTCTACAGGCTAGACAATGGCACTCTGCTGACTGCCATTGGGTATTGGGATGAAATCCTTGGACCATTGTCAGACCCTACGCTGGTGAAGCCGGTTTTGGGTTCTTCCTGGTGCACGACAATGCCCAGCCTCATGTGGCAAGAGTATTCAGGCAGTTCCTGGAGGATGAAGGAATTGATACCATTGAATGCTGCCCATGCTCGCCTAACCTAAATCCAATAGAACACCTCTGGGATATCATGTTTCGGTCTATCCAACGCCGCCAGGTTGCACCTCAGATCTCAGTGATGCCCTGGTCCAGATTTGGAAGAAATACCCCAGGACAAACCATCTGTCGTCTCATAAGGAGCGTGCCCTGACGTTGTCAGAAATGCATACAAGCACGTGGGGGTCATACAAACTACTGAGTACCATTTTGAGTTGCTGCAATGAAATTTCATTTCCATCAAATGATGGGGCATCCTTACGTTCCTAACACAATTACCCAGTCCATATTAGTATGGATATCCAGCATGATATTTTTCCCCATTGAGATCTGATGTGTTTTTTAAAATATTCCTTTAATTTTTTTGAGTAGTGTATATGTCAAATAACCAACTCTACAAATAAATATGTAATAAAATAAAAAAACTTACTAACCAATTATTATTAAACATGTATTAAAAACATAATTCATCCAATCAACAAAAAAGAATAAACCAGTCACAGTATAGAGTTACACTTGTTGTTTGTGTTTGCAGTAGCCACCTCTTCTTCAGACTTTTTAAACTCAAGTGTGTCAAATATTCATAATATCTCTAGAACTATAAAACACACATATAAGATACATGAACATGCATAGGTAATATAGTACACAATCAATATATTAACTGGCCCAGAAGGACAAACAACAAAAAAAAAAAAAAAAAAAAAAAAAAAACCAAAAAAAAAAAAAAAAAAAAAAAAAGATGGACAAACAACACAAAAAAAAAGGAGGGAATTACAGAAACACTTACAAAACCAACATGGGAAATACCAAGATGCAAGTTTTTTATATTCAATATGAAAAAGTGCAGCGCTAATAAACAAATTAAATGTGCTATATCAGAGACTGGCACACACCCTCAAATAGACAGTATGAACTCCATAGGAACAATGTCCGGTAAATGACAAATGGATGAATTGGTGACTTTGTTACTCCCAGTGAGGCACTCGTCAAAAAACGTGTAGGAAATATAAGAAATGCGCACTCACCAGATGCGCATTAGGTAAGCGCAATATAATAGCCAGAGGTCCCCTCTTATCCTGTGGAAGGTGCAGTTCACACTGGACAGGCACCTGAAACTAATTACACAGGTGTATTTAAAGAAATGGCCAGGCCTGTGTTCAGGGCCTTAGTGTTTGTTTCCCATAAGCCCTGTACCTGCATCCTGTCTGCTCCTGCCTGATCTTGATTCTGCTTAATCCTGATTCTGAATGAACACTGCCTGTCCTGACCTTGGCTATTCCTGACTACGCTTCCGCCTGCTCCTTGTACCTCGCTGACCGCACGATACCCAACCCGGCCTGCCTGACTACGCTCACTTCACCCGACAATCCATCCATCCCCCGCACGGATAACTTCAGTAAGTCTGCCTGCCTCTTCCCATCAGACTCCGTTCCCCCAGCACTCCCCTGCCAGTACTCTCTACCACAGCCGGACGCATCAGGAGTCGCGACCTGGTTCCAGTCTGCACTAAGTCCATCCCCACCATCAGGGGCCCTGGTGAACAGCAGGCTGGGACTTAGACCCCCCGCACCCTGAGGAAATCCGTGCTGTGGGCTTGGCCTGCCTGACCACGCCACATCACCAGCCCTGACTGCCCTTGTCTGTGTGTACATTCTGTTATCCAGTTGGTTTTGTTATATTGTGCGTTTGTATTTGTGTTGTACCTTTAATAAATTTATATTGTTTACTATACCTGAAGCCTGCGGTTCCCTGTGTCAGTCCTTACATTTCTAGAGGTCATACCCGGATCCACTAACAGAACACCAAGGTCCATTCTTGACCAGAAGTGGCTGCACAGCCTCCCAGGGAAGCCATCTTGGCTTATTGTTGCTGGGAAGGATGAATCTTGATTGAGGTGGTTGTATTTGTCTCTGCTAGTGTTTGATGACCGAGATTATGCTTATCAGACTCTGAAGGAGTATACCAGGGATCAACTACTACTAGAATGCAATAAGGATCTCTCATTGCCTAGTAGATCAGGCACAGAGTTCTCTGAGGTGCAACCATTGATTCAGGTTTGTGCAGAGTTAGCTTCATCTGATACCCCCAAAAAGCAGGGATGAATTTTTGCCGCCCATTTAGTGCTGACCAGGTAGAGTCCCTGGTATGGTTATTGGAGGATGATGTAGATTACTTTCTGGAGTGTTATTCTGCAATGTTCATCAACATGGTACTAAGAGACTGTATAAATGCAGTGCAGTCTTTGACCAGACAGGCTTTGTGTAAGCTGAGCTTTGTTCAACCCATACTGCAGACATGGTCAGACTTGTTGCACCCAGCCTCAGTCCAGCTTGCAACATCATTCCTCTGCTCAAGGCACTCTCCTGCATCCCCGACAGCACCCCCAGTGGACTGCCCAGTATACTCTGCTAACTACCACATATCAGTCCCCTGCTCCCACCCGCTGCACCTATCCTTTCTTTAACCCTGTAAAGAAGTCCTCTGTAGCAACTGCTCCCTCCTTTGTTCCATCCCCAGCTCTTCTCTGCCTACAGCTGCTCTATCCACTTACAAACCTGCGCTTACTTCCTGTGCTTCAGTAACTAAAACCAGGAAAAAGCGAAAATTCTTTCCAACCAGTACCATCCTGCCAGTATCCAAACCGGTCAGCCTGCCGTCTTAGAACCCGCCTTCCATGGTTCAGCCTGGTTCCCCCGGCACCCCGCAAATTCACCTGATACCCTGATGCCAGATGGACCCGGTGCCCGCAGTCTTGCCAGATGACCCGGTGGCCCGCTGTCTTGCCAGATGACCTGGTGCCCCCGCAGTCTTGCCAGGTGACTCGGTGCCCGCACTCTTGCCAGATGACCCGTGTGCCCACAGTCTTGCCAGATGATGACTCAGTGCCCGCAGTCTTGCCAGATGACTCGGTGCCCGCAGTCTTGCCAGATGACTCGGTGCCCGCCTGTCGAGCTTGACGACCCAGTATGCCCGCTGTTTTGCCAGATGACTTGGCGCCTCAGTCTTTGCCAGATGACCCTGGTCCCCGCAGTCTTGCCAGATGACTCGGTTTTTGCTCGCAGTCTTGCCAGATGACTCGGTGCCCGCAGTCTTGCCAGATGACCAGGTGCCCGCAGTCTTGCCAGATGACTCGGTGCCCGCAGTCTTGCCAGAATGACTCGTGCCCGCAGTCTTGCCAGATGACTCGTGCCCGCTGTCGAGCTTGACGACCCGATGCCCGCTGTTTTGCCAGATGACTACACTGCGCCCGCAGTCTTGCCAGATGACTCGGCGCCCACAGTCTTGCCAGATGACTCGGCGCCCGCAGTCTTGCCAATGACTCGTTGCCCGCAGTCTTGCCAGATGACTCAGTGCCCGCTGTTGAGCTTGAGGACCCGATGCCCACTGTTTTGCCAGATGACTCGGCGCCCGCAGTCTTGCCAGATGACTCGGCGCCCGCAGTCTTGCCAGATTGGACTCGCTGCTGCCCGCAGTCTTGGCCAGATGACTCGGTGCCCACTGTCGAGCTTAAAGCCCCGATGTGCCGCGATGTTTTGCCAGATGACTCAGCGCCCGCAGTCTTGCCAAATGACTCGGTGCCCGCCAGTCTTGCCAGATTGACCCGGTGCCCGCTTTTTTGTCTTGCCAGATGAACCGGAGCCCGATGGGTTGCGGGAGGGGGCCGAGGGGATGACGGTCGGTGCCCCGCAGGTCTTGCCAGATGACTCGGTTGCACGCATTCTTGCCAGATTGAACTCGGTGCCCGCTGTCAGAGGCTTAAAGCCCGATTGCCCGCTGTCTTTGCCATGTTGACTCCGGCGCCCCGCCAGAACATGCCCAAATGACTCGGGCCGCCCGCAGTCTTGCCGGAATGACTCGCGCAGCCACGCAGTCCTTGGCCAGATGACTCGCGAGCTGCAGTACTTGCCAGATGGACTCGGTGCCCCGCTGTCAAGCCTTAACATCGCCTCCGATGCCCGGGCTGTTTGCCAGAAGACTCGGCGCCCGCCAGGTCTTAGGCCAGATGATCTCGGTGCCTGAGTCGAGCTTTAAAGGCGCCGGATGCCGCGCTGTTTTGCCCAGAATGACTACGGTGGACCCGCCGGTCTTGCCAAATAGACTCGGCGCCCGCAGTCTTGCCGGATTGAAAAAAAAAAAAAAAAGACAAGAAAAAAAAAGAAGAAAAAAGAAAAAGAAAAGGTAAAAAAAAAAAAAAGAAAACTCGCGCCCGCAGTCTGCCAGATGACTCGGCGCCCCTGTCAAGCTTAAAGCCCGCATACACGCCCTGATTGCCAGATGACACGAATGCCCGCAGAGTCTTGCCAGTGTACTCGGTGCCGTGCAGTCTTGCCGGGATGACTCGGTGCCCACAGTATTGCCAGATTGACACTCGGTGCCCGCGCAGGTATTGCCAGATGACACCGCGGCGCCCGCAGTCTTGCCAGATGACTACGGCGACCGCAGTCTTGCCAATGACTCGGCGTCCGCAGTCTTTGCCAGATGACTCGGCGCCCGCAGTCTTGCCAGATGACTCGCGTGCCCCGCTGTGGACCGAGGCACTCCGTAAGCCACGATGGCCCGCTGTTTTGCACAGATTGACTCGGTGCCACAGTCTTGCCAGATTGACTCCGTGCACGAAGTCTTGCTTTAGACGGACTCGGCAGCCCGCAGTCTTTTCCAGATGACTCGGCACCCGCTGCCCTGCCTGTTGGCCCTGAGCGGCCACTTAGCCCTGCCTGTTGGCACCGGTGCCCGCTGCCCTGCCTGTTGGCACGGTGCAGGCTGCTCCGCCCTGGTTGGCCCGGTGTTCACGCCTGATGTGCTCTGTCCGGGGCCCCCCCCTGAAAGTGCCCCTTTCCCTCCCAGCCTGACGTGCCCCTGTCCGGGGCCCAGCCTGACTGCCCCTGTTTCCCTGCTCACCTGATTGGGGCCTCTGCCCCTGCGCAACCCGGGGTGCCCCGTCCTTGATACCCGCCAGTTTTCCGGGCCCGGGGTGGAACATTTTTTCCCATTTTGGGCTGTTTGGAGTGTCCCCGACCGCTCCTTGGGGGGGGGGGGTTTCTGTCAGGAAAAGGAAATCGCTAATAGTGGTGGGAAATCACCTGCCTTTTTGGGTTGTAAATACCAAAGGGTGGGGCCCGCGGGTTTCTCCCCAGCAACCAGAGGCTCACTCCTACAATTTGCCATCAACCCGAAACAATTACACAGGTTTTAAATTTTAAAGGGAAAGGCCAGGGCCCGTGTTCAGGGGGCCTTTGTGTTTGTTTTCCCATGACCCCTGTACCGGGATCCCCGTCGCTTTCCCGGGCCCAAATTTTGCTTAAATTTCCCGATTCTGCATTAACTCTGGGCCCGTCCTGACCTCGGCTATTCCTTTACTAAAGCTTTTCCCCCTGCTCCCTTTTACCTGGGTGCCCGCACGATACCGACCCGGCCCCGCCTGAACCCCACCCCCCACTTCAACCCCCACCCCATTTCCCTCCACCCGCACGGATCACTTCAGTAAGGGGGGCCCCGCCTCTTCCCCTCAGAAATCCGTTTTCCCGGGACCCCCTCCATACTCTCTACCCCACCGGACGCACTCA